GCAGCAGGCAGGTCAGGAGAGGCCTGCCATGCCATGTGGGTCACCTCCGGGGCCGGGGATCGAACTCGCACTGAAGTGGATGCGTCCAGCTTGCAGTGCTGCGTCTCAACCCATTGGGCCACCAGGGAGGGCCAAGCACAAGGATTTTTTGACATTAAAGGAAAGGACCTGGACAAGAGCCTCAGAAGAAGAGGGGTGGCTCTTCTATTTCCAGAATGTTGGTCAGTCCCCAGCTGCGAGGCCAGTCCTGAAATGGGGGTGGGAGGATGGGGTCCTAGCTCAGTGGGCCCCAGAGAAGAGGCCCTGTGCTCTGAGAAGAGGCTGGGAGGGAGAAGCTAAGCCAGGCAGTGTGGCCCCGCGAAACCCCCTCAGGTTCTTAGGCTCTGCTGACTTAGGCTGTAGGCAACAGGCCAGAATTTGACTCTCTGTGACTCAGCAAATCTTGTTTATTCTTCCCATTTTTTCCAGAGCTCCAGATATGGGGGCTAGAGATCAGGGCTGGTCAAGGCCCGCTCTCCCCCTCTACTCAGGTCCCCTTTCTGCACTCCACCCCAGGGCACCTTCAGTCTGCGGAAGCTGTGGGCCTTCACCGGGCCGGGCTTCCTCATGAGCATCGCTTTCCTGGACCCAGGAAACATCGAGTCAGATCTTCAGACTGGCGCTGTGGCTGGATTCAAAGTGACGGAGTTGGGGCCCCACAGGGGTAGGGGGGCCACCAAGCTAAGTGGTTGGAGACCCCCAGCTTGCCACATTTCCCCCAAGGGTGCTGGATGGCTAGTATTCCAGGGAGCAGGCTTTACCTTTGAATGGGCCAGAACAAGTTCCCCAGGACAGTGCGGCCACTCCCTGCAGACACAGGGCAGGGGAGTGCAAGCCGGTGGGTGCTCTTGACTCTCCTCCCTCCCCTCCCACTAAGGAGTGGTGCCAGCAGGGGCTAGCCCAGGGGCTAGCCGAGACCCTGTCCTCTAAGGAGGCCTCTCCCGCTGTTCACAGCTGCTCTGGGTGCTGCTGTGGGCCACCGTGCTGGGTTTACTCTGCCAGCGCCTTGCGGCTCGGCTGGGCGTGGTGACAGGCAAAGACCTGGGTGAGGTCTGCCATCTCTACTATCCTAAGGTGAGCTGCGTGGGCCAGGACAGAAAGCACCCCAGACCCCAACCCCCAGATAGCCACTTGCAGCTTCTATGATCAAATATCCAACCCCCAGACAGCCGATTGCAGCTTCTATGATCAAATATCCACACCACCTAAAGTGGGCGTCACACGTCTAATTAATAGATGAGCAGACTGAGGATGCTCCGCTCATTTTACGGGGGTGGGCAGGGGGCGGGCAGGGGGCGGAACAAAACCTGGGGTAGGGACTTGTCCAAGGCAAAAAATAGGTAGGCTTCACCTCAGAGAGGCATTAGCTGGGTAGGCCTGGGGATTTGGCTGTGGTCAGGGTCCAGGTGGGCAAACAAATGACACCACTAGAAACTTCAAAGGTGTTCAGCACAGGGTTGTAGTTATGAGGTGCTGGGAGGGCTGGAGGTGTTACCAGGAGATCAGAAAGCCACTGGTGCTGCTGGAACCCAGGGAGTGTGATGTTTCTGTTGGAGCCACTGCTAGCGGCGGCGGGGGGGCTGGGGGGCTCTCCCTGCCCTTTCATCTCCCTTAAGTGTTTTGTGCAGAACCTGCCTATAGTCAGCTGTCTGCAAACAGGCAGTTTCAGCCCGTTTAGGGTGGAGGATGAGTGTGGGGCTGAGATAACAAGCAAGTGGCCCAGCCTTGGTGAAGGGTCACCTCCTCCCTCTAGGTGCCCCGCATCTTCCTCTGGCTGACAATAGAGCTGGCCATCGTGGGCTCGGACATGCAGGAGGTGATCGGCACAGCTATCGCATTCAGCCTGCTCTCCGCTGGACGGTACTGGCCCAAGGGAGCCCAGCTCAGCAGTCCAGGGCTGGGAACAGCTGGTGCTTCTTCGTAGGCCTTACACTTCCTAAGCCCTCTCATCCTGCAGCCTCCTCTGACTCAGCGCTGTTGGCCAATCTGCCAGATGGGGAAACGAGAGCCAGAAATGTAAAATGACTTGCGTACAGTCACACAGATTCAGAACCGAGGCTCCAAGCTCCCTGCCACCCTCACTGGTCCCCTAGCTTGGCCTGCACCAGCCTGTTCTGTGCCATTTCTGTCTCCTGTACTCCCTCCCCCTCTCTAGAAACTGTCGGGGTCACTTGGGTCCCACCCTCGGGAAGGCAGAGCCCATGGTCTTGCACCCCGGGTGTGGGAAGTTGGGGCGCCCGGCCCAGGCTGGGCTGACCCTGGCCATTCTGGTTGCAGCATCCCGCTGTGGGGTGGCGTCCTCATCACCATCGTGGACACCTTTGTCTTCCTCTTCCTCGATAACTACGGTGAATGTTCCCTCGGTCTTTACACTGTGGGGGTGTGGGTTAACTGGGGGCCGTGTGGCCGCTGCACTGGGAGAGGCCTCTGAGCTCCGGCTCAGCTTGTGCAATGAGCAACTTACTGAGACTCCGGTTTCTTCATCTGTAACATGCGGATAATAATAGCACAGACGTCATGCCGGGGTGGTGAGGATTCACTGAAGTAAAATACATGTTAAGCACTTGGCGCGGTGCCTGGAACAAAGTGCTCAAGTTATTAGCCATTGATCACCGCTTATGTTACTAGGTTTTAATTTTTTTTGTTCTGCCCCTTTGTTCTCCCCCTAGGGCTGCGGAAGCTGGAAGCCTTTTTTGGGCTTCTTATTACCATTATGGCCTTGACGTTTGGCTATGAGGTGGGAAGCCAGAGCCAGCCACACTGCCCACCTAAACCACCCCAATGCGGCTGAGGGCCGGGCCAGCACCCTTAGTGCAGTCCCCAGAGGCTGGGGTGGAGGGAGCCCAGCTGTGCAACGACTGGGCTCCCAAAGTGGGGGGGGGGGGAGGAGGCTGGGAAAGCCCCACTCTGAGCAAGACCTGGGCTAGGCTGATGGGCTCCTGCCCACAGTATGTGGTGGCACGTCCTAATCAGGGAGCGCTTCTTCGGGGCCTGTTCCTGCCCACGTGCTACGACTGCAGCCAGGGCGAGCTGCTGCAGGCTGTGGGCATCGTGGGTGCCATCATCATGCCGCACAATATCTACCTGCACTCTTCCCTGGTCAAGGTGAGCAGAAAAGGGAAGCAGGGAGGGGTGCTGGCCCTCCTTCCAAGCCTGGAACCCCACCCTTTCGCCCCTCATGATTTTAGGTGGGAATTGAATGTTCTCTGCTCATTCAGTATAATTTGATGTGCTGGGGGTCTGTAACAAAGAGCAGGCACGTCTTCTACCTTCCAGAGCTTGCACTCTAGCAGGGGGGGAGGTGCACCAGGAGTGAGGAGTAGCAGCAAATACGTGTGGACTGTGGAAGGTGCCTGAAGGAAATAAAGCAGAGAAGAGTGCTAGGGGTGACCAGGCAGGGACCATGACTGTTTTAGGGGTTTTCTAAGGAGGTGATCCTTGAGAGCTGAAGGATGGGAAGGATCATAGAGGAAGAAGATATGCTAAACGGTGGGAACAGCAAGTGCAAAGGTCCTGAGGCAGAAGTAAGCCAGGCATGTTTGAGCTGGAGCATGTGGAAGGGGAGTAGGCCAGGGGTCAGGGAGGAAGGGCTGGGGCCCAGCCACATGGGGCCTTGACAGCCAACCTCCCTTCACTCACATTCAACACTGTGGACACTGGGTGGTTGTGCACCAGGTCTCCCAGGCAACAGCAGAGACCTGTGAAGGGGATTGGCTAACAAGGGCTTGGGTGCGGGTGGAGGGAGCTATAGAAAGAATGGAGGTTGGCAACTCTCAGCACTCTGGATTCTCCCTTGCCTTTGACCTCCATAGTCTCGAGAGGTCGACCGGGCCCGGAGGGCAGACATCCGAGAGGCCAACATGTACTTCCTAATTGAGGCCGCCATCGCTCTGTCTGTCTCCTTCCTCATCAACCTCTTCGTTGTGTCTGTCTTTGGGCAGGCCTTCTACCGGCAAACCAACCAGGCTACGGTAAGCCCCCTGCCCTCCCATACACAGGCAGACTTTGTGGGGACTGCAGGCAGTTCAGCTAAGCCCTTTGAGCCTCTCTGCCCAGCTCTAGAGGGCACTGGCAGGAGTCTGTGACCTTGACCTCTGCCTGGGGCCCCTTCCCAGGGCAGAGTCTTGAAGGGTCTCACTCACACCAGGGGCTGCAAGGCACAGAGTGACATTCTAGCCGTACCATAAAGGATGGGCAGGATTTGGCCATCAAACTGCAGGAGGGTGCTCTGGGAGGAGGAGGTGCCTGGGCTGACAGCAGGGTGGGGAAAGTACAGGCTGGCGTTTTCTTCTGAGTCCTCACCCCTGCTAACCTACACGATAAGCAGATTGGATCTTTGCTATGTCGGGGTCAGTATCTGAGGCCCTGGGGATCCAGCAGTCGGTAACACAGAATCCCTGGCTTCTTGCAGCTTAAGTTGGGGTGAGGGGGCAATTAAGTACACAGGGCACAAAACAACAAATCAGCACACAACAGAGTATAAACCTGCTGCAAAGGGAAAAAAAGGAAACGTAACTGGGGGTGCAGTGAGGGTGGCTACAGAGGCCTCCTGGAGACAGGGGAGCAGTCTCTGTCATAGAGCTGGCCAGCTCCTCTGGGGCTCAGGACCTGTGTCTGCCCTGCTCTCATGGTGGGTTTTAGTATCAAGGCGCTAACAACCGCCAGCCAGGGGTGAGTGTGACCGGAGGCTGAGCACCGTTGCCTCCAGGGACCCAGGCTCTGCCACTGCCTTGCTGTGTGACTGGTGAAGTTCCTCCCTGGACTCACTGCTTGGTGCAGATGAGAGGTCTAAATAGGGACGGCAAACCCTTGCCTTAAAAGCCCGGCCAGTCACAGGCTGTGGGAAGTGGGTCAGATGAAAGGAAAAGGGGACCGTGGGGCAGCTGCCCTCACTGCCAGCCAAGTGCCTCTGTGGGAATGCCAGCTCTTACCATTCCAAGCTGCAAACCAAGTTCTCATGGGAATTCTCCCTCAGTTTTAAATGTTGGCAACAAATTCACATTGAAGGAAAAAAAAGTTTGCTACACAAAATATGGGCGACATTCAGTCCTGGGGTGTGTGTGTGTGTGTGTGTGTGTGTGGCTGGGGGAGGGGACCAACTTTCCACCCTTGGTCGAGACGAGAGGTGGTGGGGGGTCTGGTTTCCGCAATACTAAATGTGAGCTTCTCCCTCCTATTGCCCCGATGCCCACAGTTCAACATCTGTGCCAACAGCAGCCTCCACGATTACGCCAAGATCTTCCCCCAGAACAACCTTACCGTGGATGTGGACATTTACCGAGGAGTAAGCCCTGGGCAGGGGAGGCTTGGAAGTGCGTGCACTGCCCATGCTCCAAGCCGAGGCTCCTAGCCACGCCCACATCGGAGGCGGAGCCTCTCGGGGGCGGGGCCACGCGTCTGACCACACCCCGTCCTCTAGGGCGTGGTTCTCGGTTGCCTCTTTGGCCCTGCAGCCCTCTACATCTGGGCGGTGGGTCTTTTGGCGGCTGGCCAGAGCTCCACCATGACCGGCACCTACGCGGGACAGTTCGTGATGGAGGTGGGACTTGGGGCAGCTGAGTATGGCCGCGGGACCGAGGTCAACCAGCACACTACTGCCACTATAAACCCACTTTACAGATGGGGAAAGGAGATTATGTGCAGGGGCAATTTGTCGGAGGCTGCAGATGTAGGACTAATGGGCACCTTTCCCTAAAACTGTTAATTTCCAGCAAAGGGCCTGGGAGGGGAACCTCTCTAATTCCCTCTCCCTCATCCCCTGTCTGCTAACTAGTGACAGAAATGCCCCCAGTTTAATGATGGAAAAGCAAAGGATTCCCCTAGGCATGGCAGGGACTGAGGGACTACACCTGCATTCAGCCACTAAGGTGCCCCCCATGCCCCAGGGCTTCCTGAAGCTGCGGTGGTCACGCTTTGCCAGAGTCGTCCTCACCCGCTGCTGCGCCATCCTGCCCACCGTGCTGGTGGCAGTCTTCAGTGATGTGCGCGAACTCTCCAGCCTCAATGACCTCCTCAACGTGCTGCAGAGCTTGCTGGTGAGCTGCATCTTGGCCACTCTTAACCCTGCAAAACTAAGCAGTAGCAGCCCTCCCCCGTCTGAATACCCCCTGCCCACAAAGCTCACGGTCTCACAGTCATCCCAAGCAGTAGGAACCACCAGCATCCCTGTTTTCAGATGGGAAAATGGTTGCCTGCAGTGAAGTGACCAGTGGCCTGGCTGGGATGTAAATCCAGGCAGTCTCACTTTTTCCTGCTTTGGACCCCCAAGCGCCAAGCCCCAAGCATAGTGATCCAGAGTAAGGGCCTTGCCTAAGGGGTGCCCAGGCAGCCAGAGGAGGACTAAAACCTTGCCCACTCCCTTCCTGGCTGTGCTCCAAGCGGGGGTCCCTCAGCTGGATGCTCCACCTCTCCCCAGCTCCCTTTCGCTGTGCTGCCCATCCTCACCTTCACCAGCATGCCTGCCCTCATGCAGGAGTTTGCCAACGGCCTGTGAGTACTCCCCACCCAAACTCTGGACTTGTATTATTTTGATGGCTCAAGCACCCAGAGGTAGGAATGACCATTATCCAGATAAAGAGAGAAATGAGGGCTCTTGCCCAGGGCCACACAGGTGGGGACCCAGCACTGGAATCCAGGGATGGAGGCTGGTGCTAGATCTTGACCTTCAGAAACTTAGACTCTGCTCTTGTGAAATCTCACCAGAGTGGGGCCTGAGGCTCAAGGGGTGGAAAGAGTGGGGGTGGCCTCACAACCCAGAGATGACTTCATGTATCACCCCCCACTGCCCAACTGACTCTGGGCACTGGAGAAGAGGAGGAGGAGATGCAGCCAGACCGGAGACTCCCTTGTGTCCCACAGGCTGAGCAAGGTGGTCACTTCCTCCATCATGGCGCTGGTCTGTGCCATCAATTTCTACTTGGTGATCAGCTACCTGCCCAGCATCCCCCACCCGGCTTACTTAAGCCTTGTCGCCCTGTTGGGTGTAGCCTACTTGGGCCTCATCACCTACCTGGTAAGAGAGGGCCAGGGTTGCTCTGGGGATGAGGGAGGCAACAGACAGAGGCTCTGGGGGATTTACTATGAGTTTGTCCTCAGTCACAAACTCATAGCTGCCCTCCTCCAGGTCTGGACCTGTGGCATCGCCCACGGAGCCTCGCGTCTAGCCCACAGCTCTCACCAGCACTTTCTGTACGGGCGTCCCCAAGAGTAGCAGCAGGACCGTGAGTTTTGCAAGCACGGCAAGGCAGGCTCAGACTTGCCGGGAAGAGCAATTAACCCCCGTGCCTCAATGTCCTCATCTGTAACACGGAGACATAGCGAAGCCTGCAAGGCCAGCAAAGCACTTTCATGCAGTGCTTGCAAGACACTTGGGCCTAAAAAAAGCAACTCACCCTAAAAGTGCTTACTGAGCACCGCAGGAGCGACCTGACAGATCCCAGTGGTGGTGCTGGGACGCGAGTTCCAAATTAGAGACTACGGAATGCTAAGGCGCTCGTTCACGTCCCCAGCGAAAGAGCGCCACGAAGCCGGGAGAGCACTAGCTCCCTACGCCATCAACAGAAGCCTCCAACTCGGACGTCGGTTCGCTCCTACAACTGTTCGCCTTTTTGTTCCACCCACACCCACGTTCCAGGGCGTGAAACCGAGGCACCGTTTAACCCCCTTCGGGCGCCAGGTCTAAGAAGCCCCAGAGGCTGTGCCTCCCGGGCCCAACTCATTTGTTATCTCCCCAGGGGACCGCGCGGCCGGCACTCCCACGCCGTGCAGTGGCGGCTCCCGGCTCCCCCTAGGGGCAGAGACGGTTCCCAGCGCCCGCGCTTCCTCGGCCGCGCCCTCCCCAACCCGCCCGGGGAGCGAAGGAGGCTGGCGCGGGCTTAGCGCGCTGGGGCTCCGGAATCCGCCTGGAGAGTCGGTGGGGGGAGCTGTGTAGGCGGGGAACCCCCTCGGAAGCTAGGTCGGCACCCCTTCGGCCCGCGTAGGTGCTGCACTTTACAGACGCTCCCTGGGCTGTTTCTAGGCTCCCCAAAGTCCCTCCTCCCGCCTATTCGCGGCTCTCGGACCGCGGCTGGGAGCTGCTGAGAAGCGCGGCCGAGAGAGGCCGTGGGGTCTTTCCCCAGGGTGGGCCCCGGAGTCGGCGCTGTGCCTGGAAGCACCCCCGGTTTCCCCGAGATCCGGCGGCGGGGCAGGCGGCTCGGCTCTGCACTCCGGTTGGGGCGCTTGTTTATGAAAAGAATTTCCTCTCTCTTAAAAGGGCAACGTTGCGAGTGGGGCCCGCGAGGAGGGCCGGATGGGACTGCTCTGGCTCAACCTAAGCGAACAACGGTGGGAGCGGGTAGCTGGGCGTGAAAGCCGCCCACTTCCTTTCTCTGGCTTGTCCCTGGGGAAGAGGGGACCCACGTAGGCTGAAGGAGATGGCTGGAGAGCTCTGTAATAGAAAAAGCCTTTCATTCACCAGACCGTTCCTCCAGGAGGTGCCCCTAGTTGCAGGCCCCTCTGGTCAAGGGCCAGGGCTAGAAGATGGGCAAGGAAGCAAAGTCCCAAAATGAAAGTCAGCTCTCAAGGACCTCACATTCCAGTGTGGGGGTGGAGGCGGGATGCCAGTTCTCTGACAACAACACTATACCCAGGGATGAGGCTGGGAAGTGCAGGTGCCTCTGCTCACCTGAAACGCGCAAATGAAGATAAACTCAGACTGGATTTGGAAGCCCATCAGGAAGGAGAGCTGAGGTGGGGGTGCTGGCAAGCGCGAGAATGAGCAGGGGTGTCCTGGAGAATGAGCAGGGGTGTCCTGGAGCCTGAAGCAGGACTGCAGGAACGACCCCGCTGGAATGGGCAGGCTGGTCGACCCAGTGTTTAAGCCTGGACTTGAAACTTGAGGGCAAGGACAGTGGTCAGGGGAGGGCACCAAAGGTCAGCTAAAGGGCTACCCTGGTCCAGCAAACTGGGCATTGGGAGGTGAGGCCAAGCCCAGCCACTGGGGTAGAGTGGGGTACCGCCCCACCCCTATGGAAGTTCTGGTCTGCTACTGCCCAGGCCCTGGTCTAGCTTGTGTGAGGAGGGGATGCACCACCGGCCCCTCAGCTACATGGTTTGGCACCGGGGCTCTCCTGGGAGCCTGCTGAGAGCGCCCCGTGTGCCAGGGTGAGGCTTTACCAGTCCCTCTTGACTAGGAAGGTCTGATGCAGGGGGAGTGGAGACACTTGCCTAGTTACCAGACAACTGGGCTGAGTCCCTGTGTTCTCCGACTCAGCACAGGGCTTGGCTCCTCCTAGGGAAACAAACCCATGCGACTGAGAAAAACAAATCGTGTGGGTAAGGGAACCCCCACTGCAGGTGGGTGTGGGCCTTCCTCCCGCCCTCCTTTAAGGAAACCCAAAGAACCCTTCCTACTTCCTACTGCAGAACATTTCCACCAGCAGGTCCCCACTGCTTTCTCATTCCTGTCGTGCCCCCAGGCAGAATGTGCCCTGGTGCCTAGTGGGCGTGCGTGTGGAGTAGCAGAGGGACAGCCGCCTTGCCCACGTCCTGTTCCCGCGCCAGCCGTTTTGACAGCCGACCAGCTGTCAGCCTTCGGAGAAGCAACGGAGGGAGAAGGCGGGCCGCCCGCTCGGGCCTGGGCGAGGCCGCCCGAGGTTCACACGGTCCTTAGCCACACGTTTCCTTTTGGGGCCAGTGCGGGCGGGGCATCCGGAGACAAAGCGGACGCCCTGCCCGGCCCTGGCCGGAGGGGAGGTTCTCTCGGCCTCGCTGGGGTCACGTCGCTTCACCCGGCGGCGCTGGTTGCCGGTCTGGGCGGTGGGGCTAAGACCCGAGACAGTCGGAGGAGTAAAAGCGAACAGGGAGCGCAGCGCTCGCTTCACGTGGACGATTATTACAAAAACATACAGCGGCGGCAGCCGGGCGGGCGCCCAAGGTGCGGGGGAGGGGGCGGCTCGGGGGTCCAGTGGGAGTGGGGGGCACTCACGGTCCTCGACACCCCCCTTGCCCGGCGTCGCCAGGGAGCGACTTCAGGCGGGCGCCGCACTCGCCCTTCCCGCCCCCGGCGCAAGGCCCCTTCCCGCCCCGGCTCCCCCCTCCCCGGCTCCCCTTAGGTGGGGCCTGGGGGACTCGGGCAGCGTTCGAACCCGGCAGCGGACAGGACCGGACGCGCCCGCCCCGCCCCGGCGCCCTGGCCGGCGACGGGGGAGGCGGTGCTGAGGCCCGAGTATCTAGACAGGCGTTATTATTATTTTTTAAATTGTGCACACAACGTAGTAACGAGGGGAGGGAACTTGATGGGCGGGGGTTGGAGGGGGCGGACCCAGGACCCACCCGCCACGGCGCTCCGCACCCGCGGGTTCCTTCACTAAGAATCCGCTGGAAAAGCGCCCCCGCGATTGTGTCTGCACAGACTGGATGAAATAGCTGTTTAGAATCCTCCGAACATTTGATGCCTTGAGGCCCCCACAAACCAAGGTCGAGCGCCCACGCTGGGCGGGAGCCACTGCGCTCCACCGCCAATAATAACAGTGGGACTTAGGGGAGGAGGTCTGGCTGTGGCAGGCATGTCCTCGAGCACAAGAGATCTGCTTGAAGGAAGGGGAAGGACGAGCCGTCCAGACACGGAGCCGCGCGTACGGAGGCCCGAGGCCTCCTGTTGCTGGGCGACACCCCCTACCCCAGGCCCGCGAGAACGCCAGGTGGCAGGCGGAGCGCTCGCGCGGGGCGCCAGGTGGGGCAGTTGGCCAGGGGGCACCCCGGGGCTGGGAGTTGGAATATCCACGCCCTGTAGATCCGGGTCACTTGGCTCGAGTGTGAGCCAGCGGCGGGTGGTGGCCAGTCACGGCCTGGCCCGGAGCACGACGGTGAGAGTCCGTAGACCGTTTAGCGCTAGCAAGGAGCCATCGCTGGCTCACGACTTCCCTGCGAGCTGGCCCCGGGGGCTATCGGCGAGAAGACCCAGTAATCAGACCGGATAGTGTTATCCCCATTTCCCAGATGAGGAAATCGAGAAGCGGCTAGTCCCAGACCCCCCGCCCTCTCCAAGGCGCGGAGGTGGAGCGGCGCCGCCCCTGGGCCCTCCCCGGCGTGGGCGCTCCCGGCGGCAGGGGCGGGCCCTGGCCCCCGGCTCTCGCCAGCCTGGAAGGGAGGGCAGAGCGCCGGCCCTGCCACGCAGCCGCAAAGGCTCGCCCGGCTGGCAGGCCGCAGGAAGGGAGGCGACGCCCCCTGGAGCGCGGCAGGAACCCGGCGGGTCCCGCCTCCCAGCCCGCGGAGCCGCGCTGGCCCCAGAAGTGATGAAAGCCACGGCGGAGTCCAGGTCACGCCGAAGCCGTTGCCCTTTTAAGGGGGAGCCTTGAAACGGCGCCCGGGTTCCATGTTTGCATCCGCCTCGCGGGGAGGAAACTCCATGTTGTAACAAAGTTTCCTCCGCGCCCCCTCCCTCCCCCTCCCCCTTAGAACCTGGCTCCCCTCCCCTCCGAAGCTCGCGGGGATCCCTCCCTCCCACCCCTCCCCTCCCCCCCGCGCCCCGATTCCGGCCCGAGCCGGGGGGGAGGCCGGGCGCCCGGGCCAGAGTCCGGCCGGAGCGGAGTGCGCCCGGCCCCATGGACAGCTCGGCCGTCATTACTCAGATCAGCAAGGAGGAGGCGCGGGGCCCGCTACGGGGCAAAGGTACTGGGGCCGCGCGGTGAGGGCCGTGGACTGGGTGCTGCAAAAGTGGGGAGGCGGGATCCTCCCCCAGGCAGTCGCCGCCGCCGCCGTGCGGGGCGAGCGCCTCGGAGGAGCCTGAAAGCTCCCAACCCGAGTAGCAACTGCGAAGTTTGAACTCTTGGAGGTTCAGAGACGCGGGGCGGGGCGGGGCCTGGCGCTTTTTGGGTGCTCCAGTCTGCACCCAAAGTGGGGAAACTGAGGCAGGATTTGAGAGGGGGCTCCTTTCCTGTCTCTTGGGCTAGCGCGGCGCAGTGCCCAAGAGTCGCCTCCTCCCCTGCCTTGGCGCCTGTGTGATTGTCAGATGAGGGGGTGTTGAAGAGGGCGCCTTCAGGTCACCCGCTGAGACTCCCCCCCCAACACTCCGACCTGCGGTCTGTTTGGGCGCAGGAGGGGACGCTGAGGTGACAGCGGGGCAAGGGAGGCTTGGAGGGATCTCCCGCCAACACATTTTCGCGTTACCCACAAACTTCCGCGTCACGCGTGGGGCGCCGAGGTCCCCTGGGGGGCAGCCACTTGTAAGAGTCGCTAGTGCGCCCGCAGAAAGACTGGGGTGCCGGGACTGGCACGCGGCTGCATGCAGCCGACTGGCGCCGGGCCTGTGCACACACGCACCGACCCGGGAACCGCGCCGCTCGCCTCGGCAGGGGCGGGGGTGGGGGAGGCTGGCGGGTCCAGACTAGGGGTCGGCCCCTCCCAGTCCTGGTGTTGACCTCACGGGCTCCTAAGGCACTCCACGTCTGCCCACCTCCGGCTTGGGCCTAGCTCCACCCGAGGCAGGGGCTGGGGGGGGGGGATGAGGGGCGGGTGGAGGGTGGGTCTGTCAATCAGTCGGCGGAAACTGGGTTCTAGGTTGGAGGTCTGGGCGGGGCGGGGGTGGAGGAGGCGGGACCGGCCACAGTGGCCGTCCCCTGGCCCCCTGCCCCACTCCCTGCCTCTGGGCCCAGTCTCAGCGGACTTTGGACCCACCAGGGCGGGAATGGGGGGGAGTGGGCGCCAGGGCCCCAGGCGCCAGCACTCCTGGGCAGAGCCCAACTGAACAGGTAAGGTGGGTGCCTGGAGGCGCCCCTAGTGGGGCTGAGCCCTCATAAGTGAAGGAGACCTTGAGTGAGAGAGCAAACACTCTCGGTACACCCCTTCATCCAGCCCACTCCCTAACGTGGGAGGATTTGTGGGGAGCGAAGGGGTGCCTGCCGGCCCAGAGTGTCCAGTGGCCTGGAGCTACCAAGTGTCATCCTTAATGAAGGGGGCGTGGTCAGACCCATTCGCCCAGGGTTTCACCTGGGCGCACATGCTCCGCAGGCCGTCGTGCAAGCCCTCACCTTGGACCTCCTGCTTCAGGTGATCATAAGTCAGCCGCTTCTCAGAAACCCCGGAGCCGGGGCATCCTCCACTCGCTTTTCTGCTGTGTCTGCCGAGATGATGGGGAGGCCCTGTCCACAGCCCACAGTGGAGCACCCCTGCTGGTGGAGGAGAATGGAGCTGTCCCCAAGGTGTGTGTTGGCCAGGTGTGGGCTGCGGGGACATCTGGGTTCGACCCAGAGGGGGAATAAGGGAAAGGGCTTTTCATGACTGCTGGCCAGCCATGGAAGGCATGGAGGAGGGTGGGCCACCCTCTCTCAGCCTGACCTGGAAGTCCCCCAAAAGCCACCCAGGGAAGGATCTCTTGGGAAGGGAAAGTTTTCCCTACTTTAGTTTTCCAGGCAGAGAACTGACTCACAGAGTAGCCCCAGCTCCAGAGTTCGTGGGGCATAGCCGGGGCAGAGTGGTCTCTTTCCCTCACCCCCATCCCCAGTGGCTCCCCAGGTAGAAGGCTGCAGAGGGAAGGCCTATGTAGAACAGGCATTTGGGGGTTTGAGAGAGGTACCCCCTAGTCAGCCCGCTCATTCCCAAAGCAGACCTCAGTCCAGTACCTGCTTCCCGAGGCCAAGGCCCAGGACTCAGACAAGATCTGCGTGGTCATCGACCTGGACGAGACCCTGGTGCACAGCTCCTTCAAGGTGGGCCTTGCCCAGCAGCCCTCAACTCCTGGTCTCCAGGGGGCCTTCCCTGGCCTAGGAGGGCGGTGTCTGTGGGCTGGCCCTGGTTCTAGCAGCTCTTTTCCCCCCCATAGCCAGTGAACAATGCTGACTTCATCATCCCTGTGGAGATTGATGGGGTGGTCCACCAGGTGAGGTGCCAGCAGGTGGGAGGGGCGGGAGGTGGGCTTGCATCTGCCTTCCAGACCCCAGGCTCCTCCCCAAAACCCTGAGGGCTCCAGCTGGGACCCTCATCTATGGGAAATGTCAGAGGCCCACCTTGGCCTGCCAGGAGTGGGGAACTTCCTGGGCACCCCCTTGCCCCACCCTGCCCGGGACCCAGTTCAAGTAATTCAGGATAGGTTGTGTACTGTCCAGCCTGTTCTCCATTACTTGGTTCGGGTACCGGTGCCCTGCAGCTTTTGGGTGAGGGGGCTGCCCCCAGGGCCCCATATTTGTGCTAAGTCCATGGTAAGGGAAAGAGCTGAGAATTAATTCTGATTCCCCATGGGGCAGGGCAGGAAGTCAGGAGGCAGAGGCCCGTCCTGATCCTCTTCGGGGAGGGTGGGCGGTTTCCCCTTGGTGGGTGGCCAGCTAAGTGGACCCCCTCCCTCCTGTGCCTCTGCCGCCTCCCCTCACTCCCTCCGAGCCCTCAGCTGCTCCCCAGCCCACCCTGTGGGCCCGCAGTCTCCTCACTGGCTCACCCCCCAGGTCTATGTGCTGAAGCGACCCCACGTAGATGAGTTCCTACAGCGAATGGGCGAGCTCTTTGAGTGTGTGCTGTTCACAGCCAGCCTCGCCAAGGTGAGCCCCGATGACCGGAGCGGCTCCTGGGGCCACCCCAACCTTGGCTGGCCCTGGATGACCCACTCCCACCCCTCAGTATGCAGACCCCGTGGCTGACCTATTGGACAAGTGGGGGGCCTTCCGGGCACGGTTGTTTCGTGAGTCCTGTGTCTTCCATCGGGGGAACTATGTGAAGGACCTGAGCCGCCTGGGCCGAGACCTCCGGCGGGTGCTTATCCTGGACAACTCACCAGCCTCCTATGTCTTCCACCCTGACAACGCCGTGAGTGCCAGGCGGGATGGGGCTGGGGGCTGCAGCCCAAGCCAGGGGTCAGTCCACCAGCTTGGCGGTGCTCTCCCCTTTAGCTGCCAGTTAGGACTGGTTACTGGGTCGCAGAAATAACTTAGCAGGTCCGAGTGGGGACCGTCACTGCTTTGCACTCAGGGAGGCTCAGGGTCCGTTCACTCAGCATCCGTTGGGTTGTACATGAAGAACGTTGTCCCTGGGGTTGGAAGCCGTGGGAAAGGGACTTCCTGGCCTGCCCGTGGAGCAGTGGGCACCTGGACATTCTGCTCCCAGGGCCAGCGCCCCCCCTCAAGATTCTCCCCCACCTGCACAGGTACCGGTGGCCTCGTGGTTTGACAACATGAGCGACACGGAGCTCCACGACCTCCTGCCCTTCTTCGAGCAGCTCAGCCGCGTGGATGACGTGTACTCAGTGCTCAGGCAGCCTCGACCAGGCAGCTAGTGAGGCGCCCCGGGGCCAGGACCAGCCCCCTAACCAGTGCTCCCCCTCACATGAGGACTCTGCCTTAAGGAAGCCCGGCGGCTGCTGCCACTTCAGTGCCACGGGGAAGTGGGCATCCCCTTCCCAGCCTGGCCAGGCTGTGGAAGGGGGCAGCAGGCTGCACCAAGCGCAGCAAGGACCTGGGTCCCTGTATCAGTGCCTTAGAACCCCCTTCTCTCTAGGGACCTGTGGTGCCCACTCCCCTTTCTCTCTCCCCCTCCCTCTCTTCTCTGTGCTGCCATATTTCTCTGCTGCCAAACTGGGCCCCTTGGCCCCTTCCAGGTCTGCTTGGGGGAGGGGAGGGGTTCCTGCTGCCAGGTGTCCGGAACCCAGTCTGGGAACAGTGGATACCACGTGCCTTGCATACAGCCCTCTCCAGCATGGTTGGCCCAGGTCAGTCCAGACCTGGAACAGCCTAGGTTGCTGCAATTTAGACTGGGCTCCTCACCCAGTCTCCTGGGACTGATTCGGCTCCCCCAACCCCTCCCTGACTCTCTAGGAGGGGGCAGGGAGAGCTGTTACTGCTAGTGAAGGGAGAAGCCTCTGTCCGAAAGTTCTGAGTGGGCACATCACCGCAGGCCTAATTGGCCTGACCCTCCCACCTCTGCCTCTACTGCTCCAAGGCCCAAGTCGGCTCCCTCAGCTCCATGGGTGGGCACAGGCAGGACCCCTTTGTGGTGCCATATAAATATGTATATGTGTATATAGATTTGGGGGGAAGGGAAGGGTCACTCCTTTCCTGTGCCCATAAATTGGGGGAGGGAGGGAAAGGATTTTTACATTTTTTAAACTGCTATTTTCTCAGTGAAACAAGCTGGGCCAAAGGGCTCTGAGCCCTGTCCTCTGTCCCTCAGAAGCTCTTTGCTCCATTCATTCATTCAAAAATCACTTATTGAGCACCTTCTCTGCCCAGCCCTGTGCTAGGCCCACCAGCTGACTGTGTGGGTATCTAAATCCACCCACCCACCCCAGACTTCACCGGTGCCTTTAGGGGATCTGTAGGAGGTGGGACCTTTGTGGGGTTTGGGGTCTCCAGGAAGCCTGGCCAAGCTGACCCCCTTTCCCGTGCCAACCCACCCCTTGCAGCCCCATCCTGTCCCCTGCTGGCTGGGGGCCTCTCCCAGGACAACCTGCCTTCCAGCTCTGACTCATCTGGAGCCCCTCCCCCAAATGCTGAGTCTGGAAGTCAATGCCTTGGGCTCTCCTCAGGGCCTAACGGTTAAGGGGACCCATGAACCAGTGCCAAGGGGGAGGTCATGCCCCCTCCACACGCCCCCAGACTGATGGGAGTACATAGGGCGACTTTCCACTGAAGTGCCTTCTCTGTAGCCCAGACCTCCACAAAACGATGAGAACTAAAGAGAAAGCCAGACCCCCATCTGCCTCTGTGGTTATTGGGGTATTGAGGTGGGAGGAGTGATGACGGGTCCTGTGGAGCACACCCGCTTCAGCAAGCCCGTTGTGGGGGGAGGGCAGCGAAGAGAGGCTGCCCTAGACCGCCTGGGCGTCCAGCTCCGTGAGGTTCGAACGGTGAGTGCGGCGGGCAGGCGGAAAGGCTGTGCTACTTGATTCTGGAAGCTTCCCTCCCCTGACCCGCGCGGTGGAGCTACACTCTTTTCGCAGAATTGCTTAATTGCCTGCACACGGAGGTCGCGCTAACGCTGGCTCTAAAGAAACGCAGAAATGCGTCCCCAGGGGAGGCCCCAGGAAGGTGCTTGGAAGAGGGGTGTGGTCTCCGGCCCCGAACGGGCAGGGGTTTTGGGGGAACGCGAGAATCGAGGGGGGAGCGAGGCGATTTACAGGAAAGTCAAGTTCAACTCCGAACCTAAGAACTTTGACCCTGGGCCGAGGGCGCGCTGGCAGAGGCGCCCGGGCCTCGGGGAGGTCGGGTGGGGCCCCGCGCCTGCCGCGCGGGCGGTCGATGCCCCCGGCCGCGCCCTCGCTCGAGCCTCCCGCCCACTTCCTGCCCCCGCCCCTCCGGCCGGGGCAGCACTTCCTTTGCACCACTGGGCAGCCACCGGCCCTGGCAGGAAGTGCCCTTCCGCCCCTCCCTCGCTTACTCCCCGCGATGGCCACCAGAGGCCTCTCTGTCCACGCGCACTCGGGGCTCCCTAGCGCCCGGCGCCGGCGCGCACCCACCCTGCCCCCCCTACCCCGGAGGCATCTTTCTCGCCTCTGGGGTGAGCAGCTCCGCGCGCCCCAGAAACACGCACAATCACTGGGACGGGAGAGAGCTGCCCCTGCGACCCCTAGCCCCCTACCACCTCACCTTGTGAATCCGGCCGCAAGCCCGCGCGCTGGCGCCCCAGAAGCTGTTCTGCCCTTGGGGTTCTGAAAGGATCTGCGCTGTGTGTGGTCCCGCGCCCCTTACTTTTGGCTGGTAGGGAAGCCCTGGAAAGGGGAACGGGAAGTCTGCAGCACCCCTGCTCAGCTCCCACAGCTCCAATGCAAGCTTTGGCAGACTAAATACCAACCCTCGACCTCTAGGATGGAGGAGTGGGGTGGGGGAGGAAAAGGGGGGTGCCGCTTCATTTCCTTCTCTCCATGCAAACACTAGTCCCCTCCCAGATTTGCATCCCGGTTCTCTGCAGAGTCTCCAGGGCGCCCAGCTTTGAGTGAGACCACAGTCATCCTCCCCCACCCCCACTGCACAGAACCTTTGCCCACATTAGAGTTCAAGTCAACCGCATGTAACTGCGCATACCGTGAGTGAGGCAGGGTGCCAGCACCTGGGGACACCCCAAGCCTCTGCTCTCAAGGAACTCGCCCTGAGAGCAGAGAAAAGACTCGAACAGAATATCTAAAACCTGAAAAGCTGGAAATGGAGCGGCAGGGAGGGAAAAACTGGGGTGTGAGTGTGGGACACCACACCCCACGTGGGGTGGCCATGGTGAGGCTCTGAGGCATTTGGGCAGTAGGAGTGATTTCATGTAAAGGTGGTCGGAGCCAGGAGGTGTACCTGCAAAAGACACCAAACCCCAGGGCCAGTAGCCGTGGGAGCCTGGGAAATGACAAAAGCCTTGTGGTTGCCCACCGGGCTTGGGAAGTGACTCCTCGAGAGGCACCAGCTAATGCCTCTTCTACCGGGGAGTGGTCTCTTTAATTTTTTTCCTTTTTGCAGGCAGTGTGGTGCCTCTGAGGAGCACTGTGAGACAAGGAACAAGAGAGGGGCATGCTCAAACCTGGCATCTGCACAGTGATGGGTGTGAGGCATTACTGGGAAATCACTGCCCTGTGATGCCCCAAATGGGGCAGAAACAGCCGAGAGGAGAAGGAAGACTGGGGAGCAAAATGAGATGATACCCAGAGGCTGATGGGTCCAGAGACAGGGGAGGAGGGCAGGGAGGGAGGGAGTTTTGGGGGTGTCACCTGTGAAAAAGCTTGGGGGTGTCACCTGTGAAAAAGCTCTATCCTAGCTTGGTAGAGTGAGTTCGTCACAATTTGCTTTACACTCAAGCCTCATTACACTCACGGTGTGCATACACCCCCCCCCCCAAAGGCAAACTGATAGAACCACTGTGGAGAGATTTGACAAAATACTTTTAAAATACAGACAGCTTGGGATCCAGAGATGCCCTTAAGGTGTGTGCAAATGTAGCCTTGTGTGTATACGGGCTTATCACATCCTTGCTTGTAATAGTAAAACACTTGATATACTCTTAAGTGGACATCAGTGGAGGGGTGTTAAATCAATGTTGCTCTGTCTCTACCAAGAGAATACCACGCAGACACACACACACATACAAAACCATGGTGGACCTACCCAAGCAGATACAGGAATGGATCCCAGGTAGAGCAGTAAAGGAAACACAGCCAGGTGCCTGTCCGTGGTGATGTATATTCCCACTAAGGAGAAATATGAAAACAGACACACACAAAGTACCCACCTACATGTGCTCCCATTGGGTACCCAAGAAATGGAAACTGTGTAATCCCGGGGAGCAGAGATGGAGGACAGGGTAGGAGGCATCTCAAATGTGAGGACTTGTTCTGATGATACATCTATTTGCATTTTTTAATTAATTTACAGGTACATGTACATGTATTGGGAAAAGTCCTGATGTATTTTTTTGTTTGTTTTCAGTGTACACAGGCGTCATGACTTTCCCAACAACCCAATATTATTTTTTAAAATAATCAGTTTAAGATGGAAAACACAGCTTCCTAAATATAATGGTGAATTCCATTTCTTTCCTCAGTCATCGCATGCCTACTCTGTTCCAGATACTAGGGTGCCAGGAGCAAAAGAGATATCATGGGAAATACAGATACCAAAACCAAAGTAAATAGAAAACAAATGTCACAAAAGGAGAAGTTGACAGTGGTAAATAACTAAAAACTTTTATGCTGCCAGTGCCACCCTGTAACCCCAAGATAACTTCTAATTACAAAGGGGAGCATGTGCATTTACAGTGGGGTGATGGGGCAGTCATCAACAAAGCTGGGGGATCAAACTTCACATCTCTCCTCCCCGGACAAGGTGAACTTAGAGGCCAGATGCTGTGTAAAGGGAAGGGCCCAGGGTCACCTTTGACCAGTTTACTCAGATGATCCAAGGACTGGCATATCAGTGCCAGCTGGGTGTTAGAAATGCAGAATCTCAGGCCCCACCCAGAGCGTTCAATAATGTTCTGCACTTTAAAAAGATTGTCATGTGATCCTCATCCTATTACTGTTTGAGAAGTGCTGTCCTTTTTCGTGTATTCTTGAGGAAAAAAAAATCCTTTAACCAGAACCTAATGAATCCTGTCAAGATGCTTTGGGCTTAATGGGGAACGCTGGAGAAAGCAGAATACATTAAATAAAGGACAAAGAAAGAAATCCACACCGTGAACAAGCTACAAGACAATTGTCCTTGGCTCACATGAGCAATGTCATAGAAAAAACGTTGGAGGAATGTTCTAGATGTACAAAATATTGAAAAATCCGTGCTCTGGTGTGATCACAAGTAATGAAACCAGCTATTAAATTCCTGTGTTTAATAGCCAATTGGGGAAAACTGTGGACGGCATAGACAATATTAGAAGTAATTGTTAATATTCTCAGGTGTGAAGATCACATTACACTTTAACTTTTATTTTTTTTAAAGATTTATTTATTTATGCATACAAGAACTGGAGTGTAAGCCAGAGGTGCAGAGGGGGGCAGGTAAGAGGATTCACCAAAGACAGAGTGGGGAGCAGAACAGACAGATCTACTGAAATGCACTGCTGAGGGGAGCAGTGGGTGAGGCAGGAGAGGTCTGCTGTGCCATGTGGGTCAGCCACCATGTGGGGCAGTTCCTGGGGTCTGCCCCCTGGCTGGGGCCTGGGGGAGATTGAATTTATGCTCACAGTAGCTAGTGATAGCTTGATAGTGCTGTCTTTAACCCCTGCACCACCAGGGAGCACCCATATTATACTTTTGAAGAAGAATGTTCTCATTCTTTGATGTGTGATAAATACTTGGACTGAGGTATTGTGATGTTGTAACTTAATTCCAAATACATATATATGACAAATGTGAATTACCAATTCTTGAATATTTATTATTATTATACTATTTTTTGTTAGACATCAGTGTTATTATACTATTTTTAATTGTACTAACTTTTCTGTATGGTTGATGTTTATCATAATAAAGAAATAATTCAAAGATACATGTTTTACAAGAAAATCTAGCCCTAAGGCTAGCTTGAAAGGCAGGTGGTAAACTGGAAAAAGTACACCAAGCATAAAGGACAGGTAGGTCACCAATCTTTTCATTATATATAAATATAATAGTTTATTTTTACATCATTTTGTACTTTTTTTTTTTCATCTCAATTGTAATCCCTGTGGGTTTCCCATCACCGAGTCACCCGTGAGGTCACCAATCTTAATATATTACATATATAAACAACTTCGATAAATTCATTGAAAATTCACAGAAGACATAACCAGGGCCCTCCCTGGTGGCGTAACGCATCAGGACGCTGCACTGCAAGCTAGCGCAGCCGCTTCAGAGCTAGTTCGATTCCCATCCCCAGAGGTGACCCACATGGCGCGCAGACCTGTCCTCACCTGCCCACTGCTCCCCTCAGTGATGTACTTCGTCATTCGGCCTGTTCTGTGCCCCACTTTGTCTCTGGTGAATCCTCTCACTGCCCCTGCACCTCTGGCCTGTACCCTAGCTCTGAATGCATAAATAAATAAATAAACCTTTAAAAAAAAAAAAGAAGACATGACCAAAAATTATATTTAAAATTTCTATTTCACTAGTAAAACATAGATACACGGTGATGGGAAACCCGCGGGGATTACAATTGAGATGGAAAAAAAAATGTACAAAATGATGTAAAAATAAACTTTTGTAATAAAAAAAAACATAGATACAGACAGTAGATAGATGAAAGCGAGGTGATAACTACTGTGCATCTAAGTTGTGCACACACAGCAGATGGACTGAAGAACGACTTGAAATACTCCACAGTAAACCACTAACAGTGACCTAGCTGTGGATTCTCTGTGTCCGTTGTCGATGAACTTTCCTCTTTCCTCCTTAGCGGCATAAGTGAGTGAACACATGCAACCTAGCACAGGACTGCGCTGACTCCCCATTCCGGCCTGTGTCCCCCACACGCACACCTGCACGGCACACACCTGTGTGCACACACCCCACCTTTGGTCTCCAGCATCTTGGGAAGGTGTGGTCAGGAGCAGGGGCTGCCCTCACCTGGCACACTGTACCTCATCTCACCTCATCTCTAGTGGGAACCAGGGTTCTGAGGCAATTTCTGCAGGCTGGAGGTTGGGGACAGCTGCCCAGGGTACTGGGCTTGTGGACCAAGCCAGCCTCCGAGCAAGACAGACACCTGGCAGGGTGGACTGCTTTCTGTTCCTGAATGAGACCGGCCCTCTGGAGTCAGGGTGGGAAAATGGAAGCCTTGGCTTCTCAGAGAGTCGCAGAGCCGAGTCCAAAGGCACTTCCTATGGCAGCTCATAAAAATTCCAGGTGGAACCAGTGCCCCTGGGCCGGGGGACAACAGGGGCCCTGTGTCCCCTCTGAGTGAGGTCACGCCAAGTAGAGGAGGCCTCTAGAGGACAGGCCAGGGTCCCAGGACCCTGGAGCCCTGGAGGGCTCCCAAGAGTGAACCCCTGGCCCTGGGCCTGGGCTCCCCCATGGAAGGAGGGAGAAGAGCTGAACCAACTCCTCTGGGTTGGCATGAGGAAGGATCCTGCTGTGGCCACCTCCCCTGGCCAGGACTGTCCACGTGCAGGGAGGAGCTGGGTCCTGGCAGAAACCGGCCCATCCCTGTCTGCTCACTGGGGAGCTAAGGGTGGGGCACACGGCTCCGGCTGACAGGCTGTCGCTGGACTCCGGGTTCCCAGGGACCTTATGGGCACCTGCCTCCCCACCCCCTTACCCATTCTCTCTCTCTGGGGCCCTATCTTCCCTTATATGGTGAGGGCAGCTCCTCCAGGAGGGGGGGTGGGAACAAAGGTCGAAGCTCTCTGCAGTCAGTTTGCCAGAACTTCCTAAGGTCTCCAGGTGGCGGTTGCCTCTTGAAACAGGTAAGACACCCTGTGTGGGGAGACCCCGGTGGCAGGAGTGGACGGGGCAGGTTGGGGTCTCTGGCTTCTCACTGGCAGCCTGGAACCTTCTGGAACCCTTAGGGAGGGCTGGAGAGGGAGACCAGAGCTCTGGAGAGTGGAAAGAGCAGGGAATCCTGTGTGGCTTCCTGGGCTTCTGTGGAAAGGACTGTGCAGTTTCTGCCCCCGACAACTGGCTGTTCTTTCAGACCCCTGCTCTGGGGTCCATCTCCTAGGGCCCTGGGCTGAGGAAAATCCAAGACAGGGACCTAACAGATTCACAACTAGACTTTCCCTGGCAGCCTGGCACGAGCGGTGACCTGATTTCACTTTCCGTTCCTATCCCCAGCCCATTTCTTTGTCCATTTCTCACTCATTGGAAATGTTTCTATCTTTATTTTTTATTTATTTATGCATAAAGAACTGGGGTACAGGCCAGAGGTGAACAGGGTGAGAGGATTCACTAGAGACAGAGTGGGGAGCAGAACAGGCAGATCTACTGAAGTACACTGCTGAGGGGAGCGGTGGGTGGACAGGAGAGGTCTGCCGCGCCATGTGGGTCAGCTCCAGGCTGGGGATCGAACTTGGTAGCTTGATAGCTCTGAGCCTTTAACCCCTGAGCCACCAGGAAGGTCCAGAAATGTTTCTCTCTTTATGTCCCCATCCTCATGACCTCAGTGTCCTCTTCTCCTGGGCCTTGGGGTGTGGGCAACAGCCATGAGGGATTGAATGGGCAAAGCCAGGAGCCCGATGCTGAGACTGGGAAGAGGTAGCTGCAGGACCTTTTGGCCTGGTCCACACCTGGCCACCCTATATGCACCCCTCCTCATCTCCCCTCTGCTGGGACCTGACCCTTACCCGCCACCACCATGGCTCCATTTAGCTGAAATGGAGGGGGTGGGTAGGGGTGGTGGGGACCAAGTCCAGACCAGGTTCTTGAGATAAACTGACCACCCTCTGCCAGGAAGCCTGCTCAGCTGCCCTCAATGGCAAGGGGCAGCTGTGTGCTCTGCTCTCACAGATGGTGGGGGATCAGCAGGTATCCTTTGTTTCAAGGACTGTCACATCCCTGGCCAGTTTAGAACCACTTTACTAAAGACTAGAACAGCGACAGTACCGGGGCTGGAAGGCTGAACTCTTGAAGATAATTCGTAGCAGAGAAGACAGGAAACTGGACCTGGAGGGTAGCAAGAGCCTCACTCCATCCAGGGCCTCAGGGAGGCTCGCCCTTCCACGCTGCTGGCATTCAGCTTCATCAATATTTATCAAGCACCTATAATGTGCTAGAGCTGGGGGGTACACAAACACACCAGGCCCTTGACCTTAGAGGCCTCAGACTTAAAAACAAGTGTTTCCCTGACCATGTGGTCAGGGGCCGAGAGACCCCTTGGGTCTAGATGCTTTGGGGCCACAAGGAGGATTCTGGGAAGGTCTCCCCGAAGAAATGAGATTTCAGTTGAATCTAGAAGACCATGTTGGTGTTGGCCAAGTGAAGAAAAGTGGGGAGGGCAATCAGTACAAAGAACCCCGGAGCAGAAGGCCGGGCTGAGGAACAGCATGAGAGGATGGGAACAGGGTGGTCCAGGGGTCTGGCATGGCTGACAGGCAGAGAGTGCTGGTGGCCTGTCAGGGAGACAGAGAGCAAGAGAGGGCAGGCCCCAGGGTGTCACATAGATGGCTGTCGTTGGGATCTGGGGGTGATAGTGCCCTTCCTTGGTTTGGGGACACTGAAGAAAGAGGGGTGGGCATGAGTGGGACCCCAGTAAGTTCAAGTTGAGGGAGAAGACAGTGTGTGTCCGAACCTCGGGCATGCTGTCTGTGATGGGGAGCATGAGCTGCCCATGTTCCCCTCAGCAGTTCAGGGGAGACAGCTTGCTAGGGAGGACCCACCACTGGGAGGGGTCAGAGACGGCTGCTCTCAGCCATGTGCACTGAGGCAGCAGCTGGCAGCCCCCCTGGGGGTACCCTCAGAGTACCCCTCTCCAGAACCCCTTGCCCACCCCTGGCCTCGAGGCTCCCCTTCCCTGTGCAAACAGCTGGAGGTCCCCAGTCTTGACTTCTGTTTTGGGAGAGTATTTGCTTGCTCAAGTCCCCTCTGATGGGTAAGAAGTACCTCCCTGGTGGGACTTTAAATGTCCCCTTAGTTCATGGCTCTGACCTCATAGACAAGGAAATAAGGCTCCCTTCCATGCAGCTAATGGGTGTGTCTTGGAGAAAGGGGGATGTAGATAAGGGAGGTGATTGACAGAAAATATTCTCTTCCTTGGTACCCAAATTGGTCTTGCTGAACAAGGAGCCCTGGGAGCTGGGTCTCTGCAGGTTAAGAAATACCATGGAGGAGGCCAGTGCCAGGGCTGGAAGGAGTGTCAGGCAGGACCCAGGCAGAAGGGGACTCTTCAAGCCCAGTCCTGGGGACCAAAGGGTGACCCTGACCTAGAGGGCAGGGCCCTAAAATGAAGCTGGGCAGGGAGACCTTGCGCCCAAACTCTGGAATGTCAGGGACGTGGGTCACTCCTCAAGTCTCAGAAGAGGGAGTTTCCGAGCAGTAAAAGGCCAGGCCAAGAGATGACTCAGAGTCAAGGTGCAAGGGGAGATTAGACAGAGATTAGAGGCTGTTCTCGAACCTGCTGGGCTGGGGCCGGCCATGGGGCCATGTGACCTTTCATTCATTATTCATCCGGTCAAGGAGCGTTCAGGGAGGGTGACTGCCAGGCAGGGGTGGGGGTGGCTCAGTGGGACCAGTGGCCTTCACCCTGCTGTGCAGGAGCCGGGAACTGGGGATGTGAGGGCCTGACTAGTAAGTAGTTCTCAGCTCTGGCTGTCTCAGAATCACCGGCCACTTAGTGATAGTCAAGACAGAGCATAAAGGACTCCACCTCAGCCTAATTAAAGCAGAATTAAGGGAATATGACCTGAGCATCAGAGCATCACTATTAGTTTGAAGCTCCCCTAGGCGACCTTGATAGCAACTGGAGAGGAGAACACGTGACAGGTCAAAACAGAAAGAGCAATAAATGAAACTGAGAGAAGCTTGGGAGGGGACATTCTTTCTGACTCAGTGGGTGAAAGTTCAAAGTGAAAGGGCTCACTTTCACATTCCTCCTTTACCCTTCCTTCCCTCTTTTCCTCTCTCCCTTTCTTTCTTTCTCTCACTTTCCCTTCTTTTATTCACATATCCATCCGCTCACCCATCCATCCGCCCACCCACCC